ATAAATGCCCCTCGATAATTATAAATGCCCCTCGATAATTATAATACCCATCGAGAATTTTGAATGTCTCCCGATAATCAAATGTCACTCGAGAATTATAATACCCCTTGTGAATTATGAATGCTCACTCGTTTAATAATGAATGGTGCCCAAGAAAAAAGATAGAATTCCCATAAGAACAAAAGATATCCTTAAAGGTATTTGGTGCACCTTGTTGTAAAAGATTTTTTTTATTTCTTAAAATCTGAATTAAATGCTGTTGTGATTTACTTTTGTCTTTGTTGTCGTTGTCTTATAACTGAATCAAAGATACCCCCCACACATGTCTCTCCTCCGCACAATGTTCTGCGCAGGTATAATAGGTTTAAAGTAAAATAAATTGCAATACATTGCATTATTTTGATGTTTTATGTTTTGTACATCAACTGTATAACGTTATGTATTGATTAAAGCAACAGAGTGTAAATACTTATGCAATGTATTTTTTCCACTGTGATTTTAAAATATTAAGGCTTTTGATATTTGGCATTTTTTTTGATAGTACAATGTATACTTAACAAATAAGTTGTTAGTTTAAGACTGGTTTATAAGAGATAAAAAAAATGACAAGTTATAAAAATATACGCTACAATAAGAAAAATGTGATAAATGAAAATATTAGTACATGTATTCGTAACTTCTTTTCGTAATATCATTAATTTGAAGTATGCAAGAAAAAGCCGGCTGCCGGTACAGACAGGAATATCTAGCTGGCGTTACCGCCATCAACAGTCACCCTTGAGCAAAATATTCCGGTCTGAACCGGCGTTTGTGTGTATTTGCGTTTATTTATACTCGCCACCGGTTGCCAATATGGGCGAGTCCTCAAGAAAAGTATTAGTAATTGTAGATTTTGGAGGATAGTACAATTACAGATACAGAAAGATGCCCCAATTCCAGAAGCTTCTTCTGGTTCTTTAGCGTGCCAAGTGTTTAAGCACTCATACACGGGACCTCGATTTAAAGTCTCATCCGAAAGACTGATTAGTAATTTTAATTGACCAGCCCGGGAATCGAACCCACGATGTCAAGATTACAAGTCTTGCGCTCTAACCAATTGAGCTATGCGGGCTGGCTTAACTCTCTGAACCGGCAGTCGGTGGAAGATCCTTAATTACATTCTAATACCGATATAAAACAGTAGATAATCCTGTCTGATGAGCAATAAAAAAAGTAAATGTATCCCTGCTCAACAATAAGATCTTATTCATTGAGGCTTTTGATGTGTGAGGTTTTGTCCGGCATTTATTATGATAACACAGAGTACCCTAAACATGTAGCCCTGCTCCACGAAAGGGACGCAACAAGATCTTATTAATAAAATTTGCATTGCACAGTTACTTTTCCTTTACGTTAATTAAGTTAATTAAAGTCAAATGTGATGCCACATGGCATTATTTTGATCTTTCATCCTGGAAATGAATACCACCCGGCCAATATGTTTTGCGACATTCCCTAGGGGCGAGTAATCTTTATAGTCTTAAGAAAACGTAATGTTCTAGTTTTCTCCCTTGCATTAAGTGCCGCCTCTAGTTTTATATATAGACTCTTCAACATCTTTTTTAAAAGATTTAATCTATTCATCATAAGCCTTAGAGTATTCAATGGTTTTCTGTTGGTTTTTAATTACTATAAACCAATACCGCATTTAAATTAAAGCTTTTTCATGGTCGAACATTTGCTTAGGTTTGGACTTTGTGCCTTATATTGATTGTTGTAAAGAAGTCCCTCCAAACTAATAGGGAGAAAAACGAGTCAGCAACGGAGTCTGACAAATGGAGTTTTGACGGTTTTCTCTAGAAAGTTGTGGGTTTTTTTTACGAAAATTCTTACACTTTGTTTACTTGACGAACACATTGCCTGTCCAAAAGCGACATCAAGCGGATTTTTTGGACATTCTGTTTGGGTTAGATATTTGAGCCTTATATTGCTTTAAAGAAGACCCTCCAAATTAATACAATCTACAAGACCATAACTTCAGTAGCACTCATCCGACCATTTTTTACTGTTTGACATCAGTTCCAGTGCAGAACGTGCTCTTAAATACGTTTTTGTCATTGACCACTTAATTAATCTTTATCACGTTTTCAAAAAGTTGTATGACCACTGTTTCGTAATAATTCGAACTAATATGGTCCTCCGTTTCAGAAGGGTTTGTCTCTATGACGTTGCTTGTAAAATTTTCAGCCGTTGATCTATGGGTATACATAAGAAAGCTAATCGCCGATCCAAAATAATGACCATGCCATGAGGGTCTCTCTTGGGTTGGAGCTTTATACCTTATATAGGTTATCAGACAAATGTTTTTAACGGCTCGTTCCAGAAAAAGGAGTGTCTTTTTTCACGAAACAACTTCTTATTCTATATCTTTAGGAAAAACGAATAGCCCATTCTATAAACGCCCATGCCATGCGGACATCTCGGGAAACTCGAAACTAATACAATCGATAATCCCAAACGAAATAAGACTAATAGTGTTTAAAGGTTGGCCCGATTATTTGCAGCTTGGTAACCAGTATGAACTATAGAGCCATATTTTTTGTTTGATGTGAGCGAATGTATATACGCGTTGCTTAGCTTGACATTCAGAATACCTAGCTTGACATTCCGTTTGCATAGCACAATATTCGAGGTGCAGATTCGACATTCAAAATGTCGATCTCGCTTTTTGGTATTCATATCTGGACTTTAGTACACACAGAGTTCGATATTTTATCGATATTAGCGCGGAACATATTCATATCAAGCTTGAAACTCACCTTACATGGAAACCGAAGATCTAGCACTGAAATAACAATAAAATACCGTCAATAAGAAAAAAAGACATGTTTTGTACAGCTATATCATTTCTACTTTAGTTTAAAATTAACTTAAGCTAAAATAGGATGCGAGAAGAAGAAGAAGAAGACTTCGAAGTAACGGACGAAAAAGCCAAACTTGAAACTTGGTAATATTTAAAGTTAATTGATATGTATTTGTCCTTTCAATCCGTCATCTATTCCCACACGTTTATACGCCAAAAAAGCATTTATTCAAAAGCCGATAAACACGGCTGAAACGTTAGAGGGCTGTTAGAAAGGAATTGCTTATTGCGCTGTTGCTCGATATTCACGAAAAAGTTACAAAAAACTCGATAAAACTGGATAACTCTATCAAATACCTTTTACAATGATATAATTGAATAAAATTACTCAATGTGTAACGAATTTGTCATTTGAATATACATAGTCAATGACAACTGTATATGGAAATGGTAGGGGAAATCGTAGATAATAAAGAAGAAATACAGGTTGATATAAAAGCTTGCATGTTACTTGGTTGTTCGTTGAAAGATATTTTCGAAATTAAAGTTGTTTATGATAATACTTCGCTGTCTTATTACACTGCTGGTAGGTTGAAAAGAAATATGATTCACCCCTACAGTCTGTTGAAAATGCGCCAAAATTCAGGAAGACTAAAGCGTGGGACCGCAAAAGAAAACATAGCAAAGTAAAAGATGTCATTGAGGAAGATCCTTCGTATATAAGGTGCATGATATAGCATGTAGCACAAATGGTAGGTATATCACTATCAAGTGTTCAATTTATTCTGAAGACCACTGAATATTAGAACGATAAGTATTAGGTTGGTCACCTTATTTGTTAACAGACGATCAAACGAAAAAAAACCCACTTCTGAATACGACAAATTCAAATGTAGTAACTGGAGATGAAACCTGCATTCACTATTTTGAGCCCGTTTGAAAACAAAAAAATAAGAATTAATATGGGCAACTAAACACTGCAAAGACCTGTTATTGCAAATCGCAATTTTCTTTTAAATAAAAGGCATCGCAATTCAAGTCCCAGTCAAAGGAGGTAAAAGCATTACAGGAAGTGCTACAGAGATGTCGTGCTGAAGAATTTGAAAAACTACTAAAACGACATCCGGTATAAGTTATTTGAAAAGTTTCCGAAGAAATTTATTATATGTATAGAGTGACAGGGTCTTAACTTTAGTTTTGTATATTAGGCTCAAGCACACGCCATTTTAAATGTTTTGAGGCAATGGGCCTATAATTTAATATTTTAGTATTTTACAATGGCAATGAAGGAAACTTCGTACATAGATTATTCCTAAACTTGAAATGATTAAAGAGAATCACGACTGAAGTCAAGAGTGATGCAAAAAAGGGGGTCAACTCCCTACTTTTAAGTAATCTGTCCCTTAATTTGGGTATTTTGCTCTAATATATCACTACTCAAGATTAAGCATACCTGTTTCATTTAAGATTATTGTTTATGTTCTTTCTTTGTAGTCATTATCAAATGTTAAAACAATTCTACCTGAAATGTGTTTTGACTCGCTTCGGTACTTTCATATACTGTTTGTTTCTTTTTTGTCTTCCAAAAAGGGGAAAAACTCGAAAACAAATCTACTATTTCAGATTTATAAGCAGCTATAGAATAAAATCTGTCGGCATGACTTTCGCCAAATTTTGCATTCTGACAGGGAAAAAAATAACAATCACAAATATAAAATCATATGAGGTGTAATTTGAAAAAAGACCTTTATAATCAAATATCAAATATAGGAAGGAATTGAGAAACATGAAAAACAAAATACTTATGCATACAATGTACGTATTTAAAATGAAGTTGTCAAAACTTTCGTAGAACGCATACGAAAGAAAAATAACAAACTAGTTGTCATTTAATAGTCTGCATGCACTGGCAGTTTTTCCCTTCCATAAATGATTTGTTCATTAGTTTGTTTGTTTATTATAATAGGTAGCCCGAGTGGCACATAATAATTCTATTCTTTATAAAGATAAGACAACAAATTCCTGTACATTTTGCAAAGATGATTTGTCAACATCTATATTGAACTAAATATATAAAATCAAAACTAAAATATAGCATGTTAGCTCTTTTATTGAAAAATAATATAATATACAATACTTTATGATAATGTTCTTCAAGTATACTTTACACACTATAAACACAGGCTTAAAATATTTGTGATATTCAAGTTTTCACAAATGCTAAATGCTGATTTAATACAGATACATTTTATTTCTTTAAATGGGTATGATACTATTAAATGCTTGCAAATCATCGATATCAAAGACCATAATTATTATCACAATTCAATTAATATTGATTTTGCCATATTGATCTACATACTTTGAGTCAAATAGTATCCTTAGCCTTGTTTGAGTTCAGGATTACGCAAGTATACATGTTTGATGTTCAGTCTTTGAGTGCACTTTTGATGGTTTTGTCTTGATAACTTTCGGCTCATCATTTTCATCAAGGGACACCATGAACATATGTTTACCATGACCAGCTTTTATGCTATATATTTCAAAGTTTTCATCATAAATTCTTATTTCAGCATCTTTCCATGTATCAGGATGTTCTTTTCCTATGTGCGATATAACGGCTTGCAGAAGTCTTCTGAGATATTGTGTATTTTGGTCGTTCTCCGTCCCTTCGTGTCCGCAATATTGTATTATAGCTTTACCAATAGACCTCTTGTTGATTTCTGTACACTCGATTTTATGATCCTGTTAAAAATAAAAGTTGTCATGACACTATAAAAATATTTTATAAAGTGGTTCGCTCATCCTTTCGTTGTAATATTCTAATTTAATGAAATGATATACTAGATTTGATTGAAAAAGAAAGCAAGGTCATTTAAAACAAGGCCAAAATACTTTATGCACCATGAATGAGTATTCAGTTAAGATACTATATTTTGATTTTTGTTTTTAGTGATTTTACTGTTAGTTATGCTTGAAGAATATCTAAATTAATACCAGGAAAATAAAATTCATTTTTATAGTAGTGAAATTTGCCATAATCATTTTAAGTATCAATTCATATACTTATGATATTGCGAATACGTACAGTAAATATCCTTCTCAAAGCATGCAAATTTGACATAAAGGCTCGGATAAAAGGTGGACACCATGCTATTCAAGAGAGTTATTTAGTAGAATCGACTCCCAAGTTTTTTTCCTCTTTAATCTGTTTTGATGAGTTTAATATGATGTCACATTTGACAATTGGTTGTACAGAAGGCCGATTATAATCATGACATCGGCCCCGGACCGCAAACTAATAATTTGTCATGTGACACACATAATCAGTTGAAATCATGGCAAATATTGTATCTATGTATAGTAACACATTATAAATATACATGCAATATTCACGATGAATTAGTCGGTTTGACAAACATTTATAGTTATCACCACCTAAAAGGGCACTGCTAGAATTTAGTGATATAAGAAAAGGCATAACTTCTGATAAGAATGACATAATAGTGCCCGCCAAGTCGGCCCAAACATTGAACGGACCTTAGGCTGTGACTTTGTTTCGTTGAATGTTTGCGGGCTGACAGAAAAGTTTCTTTTTGTTAAAATCATCAGTTATTGTCTCATTTTTAAATAATCTCATTATGATAATTTGCAATAATATCTTACCTCAAATTTACCAGCATCGCCCATATTTTCACTGTCACGAGTTTCCAAAGCCTGACCGGGTAGTGTTTTATCCGTCATACTTTTGCGTCTTGCAGCGATATATATTAATCAAAAGGTAATTCGTTTATATCTGCTGGAACAGTTCCCGTTCGAGTATTGTTTATGATAATAACTAAAATCAAATCGAACATGGTATTTAATTCATTCATTTGTTACACGCCAATATTGCGTTATTTTGTACAATGACATTAGTTACAAGCGTATTGTCTTCGTAAACAGATTATGTACGTCACACCTACTCATTTAGTTAGATATATGGTGTCCAATATGTGTCATTTAATTACGTTTTTGAAAATTAAAGTAAATTAATTACCTCTTGAAACCAACAATAATCCTTACGTCTTAGAACAAATTAATGTAATATTGAATACCCGGTAACTTGTAAGAAAGTTACTCTGAAAAAGAAATAAAAAACATAGTATTGATAATTAGTACATTTCGATCTAATTTTAGAAACAAAATAGAGTTTTAGGCTTCTGTATAAAATATCAAACTCGTGTACAACGTATTTAAAATTGATTTCGAAAATTCTATATTCAAGTTGTTTTTCTGTTCAGAAGAAAATTTTAACAGTGTGTCTCTGTCGTTTATAAAAAAATGTTTCCGTAACAACATATTTTAATGCAAAAAAAAAATCATGTATGCATCTTAGATATCGGATACCTATAAACATTCTAAACATTGTTTTGTTCAAATTGATGTACTTGAGTATGATTTATTATTAGCAGCAATAGCTGCTTAATGTCTTGCTGAGTCATGTAGAATATCATTTTTTATGATGGAATGTAATGTTAACCATACTTTTTCCTATGGAGCAAACACTTTATTAATAGCTAATTTTTAGTCATTGGAGTAAAATTAAAAAAGTCGAATGAACATAAATTGTTTCATTATTTTAAAATACTTGAAATTGATTTTTCTTTATTAACCATTATCAAAACCTTAAAACACAGGAAAGGATTGTTTAACGATCAATTAAGAAGTATTCGTATTAAAGGTAAAATACTGACTTTGCAGCAGATTTCATTCAGAATAATTAGTTTGATTTAATTAGGGGACATTTATTAAACATTTAATTGTAACTGACGTTTATCAATATCTTTATTCACTATTTGTTGTATCATATTTTGTATTTATTTTTAGGAACTTCTATCAACGGAAGGACTCAAAAGCTACAAAATGGGCAATAACAAGTCACATGTAAGTAAACAAATTTTATTCAGCATCAAATAAATGCATATTCACGGTACATATCCATATCGGTATCTTTTTTCAAAATCTACTCAAACCGTACCATCTTTGCACATACACAGGCCATTCACTGCTGAAAACAAGAAAGCGACATAAACCAATTAAGCAAAATTTTATGTTTATTTCATACTGATAAAATGTGGTATGTTGAGTGATAAAAAGACTACCAAGGAATACTACATAATGTTTAAACTGTGTTTTGCTAAAAAATGTCGATTTTTAAACTACTGCAATTCCGCAATAAGCTACACAAAATCGCTATGTTTCGCCAGACCCACCGCCTCGGCATGTTCTATAGGCCAAAATGAAACTATGATTGTATTATGTACACATCACATATTTTATATGTAATCATTGTTATATTATCATTTGACATATATAGATAATTAGTAAAAAGGTGCATTTTAAAGTGCTAAAAACACTTTACTTTCGGTTTCTCAGCGGCACGGGTTACCTCTTTTGCTATTGATATATTCCTACCCTCTCTATCATTTTGTTTAAAGCATCGGAACCCTCTAAAAACCTTCCAAACTATAAAGAAATTTATTCAAACAAATCGTTATTTAAAGCTGGTTGAATCGACGCGTAAGTTATAAGTGCATACAGTGAATGTTGGACCAGTTGTTTTCTTGAGTGCGCTGTCACTTATTTTTAAAGATAAATTCATACCAAAATATTTAAGTACTTTCACATTTTCAAAATCATACATAAAGTCACGAGTCGTGTGTCTTCTAAGTTCACAGAACATTATTTTAGTTTGACTTTTATACTCCATGTTTGGCAATAAGCTTGTAGGTTATTCATATTTTGTAACAGTATATTTTCAAAGAATAAAAAGGGGAATTGAACTTAAATTTCCTTGTTTGGCACAAATGTTTAAGTAAAAAAAAAGACTTATTACGCCTGTATCTCATTGCAGCTTTCACACAATCATACATACTGCTTATAGCTTCAACAAATTTTTTTACTAACGTTTTCATTTAATTTAATAATTTTTTGGAAAAAAGACCTGTTTAAAGAATCAAAACATCTTTCAAAGTCGATAAAACAGCAGTATTAGATCTGTTTGCTAATAGAAGAAAGTGTTTTTGCAATAATCTAATGGAGTTTGTTTTCCTGTCATACAAAACCCATATTGGTTGTCTATAATCTTTTTATTTCTATTGACCATTTATATTTATTGGTGGAGTAAGGAATTCAAATCAGAAAGCATTTAAGCATGAATTTGAAGACAAATAAACTAAAATCAGATAACCTCATAGTATTACCGATTTGTCGTATAGTTAACCAAACATTGGCACACTAGTTAGTAATGTGATAAATATTTTACTTTCCACAGGAAGGTTTTGCATTGCATTACATTCTATATTCATGTAAAAGATGGTTTGCCGATGACCAAGCCCATTTTATCTTACTTAAATTACTTATTTTGCTATCAAATATCGTGTTATCTATCAAAGCATTAGAAATAATGCGTTTTTCTGCTAGAAATGTACAATTTGTGTGTTTTAGAAATTATCTTTTTACTTGCAAATACCCTATAGGTAGCCTCTTATAAATATACCATTTTGTGTAACTGGTATAATTTGTGTATATCATTGCGTTCATGTACATAATTTGTCATATTTCAAAACACGAACTTGTCATGCTACGGACATCTGATTATTCAAGAGGCTACCTATAGGGTATTTGTATGTAAAAAGATAATATTGTACATTTCTAGCAAAAAAAATGCATTTTTTAATGCTTTAATAGTAACATGATATTTGACAGCAAAAGTAGTTATTTAATGAGATATAAGCCTCAAACTGACCAATAAGTAAAATATGAAATTCCCTTCGGCGCTCCGCGCCTAATGAAATTCAATATTTTACATATTGAACAGTTTTCGGCTTTTATCTACTACATAAAAGATTAAGTAAAATGTAAGTTAACACGAGGAATGTTAAGTCTTTCCTTCGCCCATTACGCATTTTAAAGAATTTTACAAAAAAACAATAATTGTTATTTGCCGATGATTTATTTGCTCATTTCACGAATTCTATCTTCAAGCCTACTGGTTTTCGTTCTCCAAGCTCTTAAAATCATAAAACTGTTGTGAAAAGTAGCGGAGCGTCAGTGAGGATATGATTTTAATTGGATTGTTAATTTTTGACTATTGTCCTTTTTTTCTCCTTTTTATGCCCCCACAAAGTGGGGTGCATATAGCATTGCACTTGTCCGTCCGTTCGTACGTCTGTCCGTCCGTACGTCCCGAAATCTTGTGAACGCAACTCCTCTTAAACCGGATGGCAGATTTTGCTTAAACTTCCAGGGATGAACGACCTTAATGTGTAGATGGCAGAAAAGGAAGGAATTTTCGCTTGGCCCAAAATTAACAGAATTATAGCCCTTTGTTGATTTTTTCACTATATACTATGTAGAAATTTTGTGAACGCGACTCCTCTTAAACCGGATAGCAGATTTTGCTTTAACTTCCAGGGATGAACAATCTTAATGTGTAGATGGTAGTAAAGGAAGGAATTTTTGCTGCGACCAAATTTTACAGAATTTTGGCCCATTTTGATTTTTTCACTATATACCATATAGAAATTTTGTGAACGCGACTCCTCTTAAACCGGATGGCAGATTTTGCTTAAACTTCCAGGGATGAACAACCTTAATGTGTAGATGGAAGTGAAGGAAGGAATTTTTGCTGCGACCAAATTTAACAGATTTATGGCCCTTTGTTGATTTTTTCACTATATACTATGTAGAAATTTTGTGAACGCGACTCCTCTTAAACCGGACAGCAAATTTTGCTTAAACTTTCAGGGATGAACATCCTTAATGTGTAGATGGTAGTAAAGGAAGGAATTTTTGCTGCGACCAAATTTAACAGAATTTTGGCCCTTTTTGATTTTTTCACTATATACCATATAGAAATTTTGTGAACGCAACTCCTCTTAAACCAGATGGCAGATTTTGATTAAACTTCCAGGGATGAACAACCTTAATGTATAGATGGAAGTGAAGGAAGGAATTTTTGCTGCGACCAAATTTAACAGATTTATGGCCCTTTGTTGATTTTTCACTATATACCATATATATGTTGTCAGTGGGGGCATCCGTGTCCTTTGGGCACAGTTCTAGTTTTATCATACTTCATTAACAAAAACATAACAACATACGTTTTATTGTAGTTAAAGGCCTCCCGCCGACGATACACATAATATTGTACATTTTTTTATAGTAATTCATTATTTACAAAATATTTTGTTTGTTTGTTTGTTTCATTTTACGCCTTTTCCCAACAGTATTTCAGTCATATAGGCGGATACTTTCCTAACCATCGTAAACCTAACAAATATATGATGCATCAACAATATGTAATTCATATACAAATACTATTCGTGATCAATACATAAGCGGTAATTATTTACGAATAAGTGAATAAAAAGAGCATTATTATCAACATGAACAATGCTGAATTTAAGAATGTGTTTTAAAGCACGGCAATGGAACAAATTTTTCGAGTTCTTTAAATACTGTTCACTTTATATATTTGTTATGCATCTAACATCATCTAGTTGATATTATCGGTTCCAATTAGTTAAATTAGGATGTTCCAACCTTTTTTAATTAACATATTTCTAGTTTCCAAAGCTTTGTATATATAGTTTGCAAGAGCGAAAATGTCCAGTTCATCGTCACATGACATAATTGAATAAAATAAGTTAATATTTGGTTCACAGTTAAGCCAAGTTTGAATAAAACATTGTGTTCTCAGTTCATCATATAATATATATACGAGCAACATGTAATACTCATCATTAACATAATGAGCATGTTTATTTAGACAATATGGGCAATATCTGAATTGTCGATCGATATTTTGGTGGCGTCCTTTTTCAATCATTAAATTGTGACCAGAGCATCTAAAGTTCGCTAATTGTCTTTTCAGCTTAAATGGCAGAAGTATTGATAGATATCTCTCTGTATCTTGATGTGATTTAAAGTGCTTCTAAAAACTGGCTTTGGGAGAGTTTACTTCTTTCGAGAGGATATTAAGCGTAGCTCGATCGTTGACTCTATCAACCAGTAATGCCATAAAGTTTGTATGATTTCCAATTTCTTGAGCAATCCACGCATTATCCGAACCAATATTCAAAGAAAACATCCTTAATACACGTTACCCATGTTTTTCTACCGGCCTCGACTAGTCTGTGTAGCATTAAATAACATTGTTTTGGATAACGCTCATTTGGCATTTGTAATAGTTTATTCCAGCATTCAACACATTTGGTTATGTAATGTACTGAAAATGGAGCCCTGTCACATTCGCAGAGCGGGAAAATGTTAGCTAGATTCTGGTTAAGACCATGAATACGTCTGCAAAAGTCAGTGTGCACTTTCTCAATAATGGCTGAATACTGGTAGCCCCAAATTTCTGCACCATAACACAAGATCGGTCGGACTATCGTGTCATATAATGTAAAAGCGTCTTTAGAGTTAAAGGTACCAAAGTATCGTTGCCGACTCAGAGTACAAAACACTGCTTTAGAAGTTTGTTTTGCAATTTAGGAGTGAAATATAGTCCCAAATATTTTTAGTATGATATAACTTCTAATTTGATGCCATTAAAGTACCCGCGTTCGTAGTTAGCAATGGGGCCATCATTTCGAAAAAACCCCGACTTTTTAATTTTTCGGTGTTTAATTGTAGTCCAATTATTGCAAAAATACTTTTGGAATTATATGCTTTGTGAGTTTATAAATTTACTGCAAAAGTTTAAATGTCTCAAAAAAATTTAAACGACCGGGTGTATTTCATAAAATTTCATGAAAAACAGGGTTTTTTTTTGAGACAACCCCCCAAAAATATTTTCGGAAAAAGGTTTTTCCCTTCCTTTTCCAAAAAAACTCCCCCAAGTTGTGGGTTACCTTTTTAAGAATTCCCTTAAACCTTTT